AGGGATCGAACTCCGGTCCTTGCGCTTGCGAGGCAGGCCACCGAACCGCTGAGCTAAATCCCCGGCCCTGCTCCAATATTTTTAAAAGCAGTCTCTCTCCACAAAGGCCGTATGGCAGGACAGTCTCTAAGAAATGGCATCCTATGATGGGGTTCAGGCAAGATGGCGATGAAGTTTTGTCTAGGGATAACGGGCTAATAATATTCTTCAATCCCATGAATCAAACATTCTTGAACCACGCTTCAAGTCTAGCGAATTCTACCCGACCGTCTTAAATCAATTCAGACCTTTAATCCATACTTTTTCAAAGCCAGCCCAAGGCAGCAGCAATAGCCAATCAGGAAATACAATGGCTGCACACACTTCCCTTCCCCGCGGGCCTGAGGATGTCTTCGCGGAAGGTGAGCCCTGAACATCACGTCGGAGAGCGGATGAATCAACGCCTTTACTCTGACCCGTGCCCTCTGCTTTTACAACTGGGGCTGCCCACACAAACTAAGGGGCCCCTCCCAACTCCCATCAAGTCACCCACTTTTATTTTCCCGGTCACGCCCATCGCTACTTGAAATTACCTTGTTCAGTGCCTCGGCTCAGGGCGCGTCTCTCCCGCTAGAGCGCCAGCCTCACTCCACATGGCCACCGCGTTCCACTTCTTCAGCGAGAACATTTTGTCGCCTCCCGACTTGGAGCCTGCGCTCCCCGAGTGAGAGGACAAGGCGCAGGGTTCTTCGCCGTCTTCCACGTCGGCCATGGCGGCGGCGCGGAGCTGGCGGCGAAGACGTTGGCTCGGGGAAGGCGAGCGGCTACGGCGACTCCCCGGGTCCGCCCAACGGGCACAGCCTGGTGCTGGGGACTTCCGGAGACTTGGGGCGAAGTCTGGCTGCTCGGCTCTTGGGTGTTTGGTGTGAGCAGGCGCGCAGAGTGCAGGAAGGGTGTCCTTCTCCAGGCCTGTATCAAAGTTGCGGCTCCCAAGAAACCACCTTGTGAATTTATTCGTTTGTCGCTTCCTCCCAAGTGTAAATTTAGCAGAGGAGGTACTAAGGCCACATCACCACCTTATCTTTGGTATCTTAAAGCTTGCCTGGGCAACAGGAGGCGCAATTTTTGTTGAATAAGTGACCTTAGCGATCTAGAAATGTGGTTCAGTATTTCCCAAACTCTTTGGTGTCAGGACTCCTTTACACTTTAAAATTTTTAGGGCTTTAAGGAGCTTTTGTTTATGTAGGAAATACATGGCTATGTTAATAAATGATTACTTTTAATGAAATAAAAACAAAACTTAAAATGTATTAATATAAAATAATTAACTGCCATTACAAGTTATCATTGGAACAGTGGCATAACATGTAGCTTCCCGAAAATTCCACCATATTATGAAGAGATTGAGAGTGCACAGTGGGATGAAGCTCCAAGTACTGTTGTGGAAAGAACTGACCTCATTTATCCCCTACCAGGATCCTAAAAACCTTGGAGACTACACTTGGGGCTGGTTTAACCACCTTCTATGTAGGAGTAGTGAGGCACAGAGACGCAAGTAACTTGACAAGCACACAGCTGTAACGTGAAGACGACGGTTTGGAACCTGAGTTCTCCTGGTAGCCCAGAGCCATCTTTTGTTTGCCCAAGTCAAGCAGACAACCTCTCCAGTTAGAAGATAAGAAAGCTGAGGCAAAGAGATCTGGGACACCTGATTCCTGCCATCACCTAGTGGTGTCAGGATTGGGATTCACAGCCTCCTACCTCTTGATGGGCCTCTCGCCGTCTGCTGATGTTGGGATTGGGGGTTGACAAGAATGTATAAATAAGTAGAAACAAGCAACAAGACGGCCACTTTGGCGAGATGTAGATGTGTGCTGTCCATTGAGTGTTGTAAGGGACCAGGACATCTGTGAGGACTGCTGCATTGAAGGAAAGTCTCATTAAAGTGCAGTTGGAAGTGAGGGGATGTGGGATCCCCAGCGGGAGAGGAGTGAAGAGATCCAGCTGGCGTCTCCCAGCTGTTGCCAGGGTAGAAGGTTGACATAGATCGGACCATACTAACTTTATGAGTCAGACAGAAATGCCTATAAACAAACTCAGATGAGCCATGGAAAACACATTCTGTTCACTGAAACGTCCACACATCTGACCATGGATGGCTGCAAATGTTAGGACAGCTTATAAAGAAGGAAGGCTGGAACCAGACGAGGATAAAATTCTCTCCGTTGGAGAGACACCAGCAGTCTGACCAGGAAAGGGAAGCTGACGTGGACAGCTGTAGGCTGAAGAGGGGCCAAGCGTGAGGAATGGTCTGTTGTGTCCAGGTGGGGAGTCTCAGAGAGGACCCTCCTCCCTGCAGTGCAGCGTGAGAACCGTGGTGGGAGGAGAGGGCTGGGGGCTGGGAGACAGGAAGCAGCGACCTGTCACTTGGTGGGACAGGAAGGCTTTTGCAGAGTGACAGGAATGAAGCAACATGCAAGAGGCCAGTGGAACAAGCATGTAGAGAGAGCAGGGACAAACATGGGAGATCCAGGTTCGGCGGGGTGGGGATCAAGCATGGCCTGGGCTATCTGGAGGAGACTTCTGTGATTTGCTTCTGTTGCCTGAAAGTTTGTCTTAGGTCCTAAGCAGTCCAAGGACAGGAACTTTGGCTTTGGAGAAGAGTGCAGCAAAACAAGTACACGTTTACCTCATGCCCTGCTCAGGTCCTCATCTAGTACAAACCTTCCAGTTACTCTCACCAGTTTGAGAGGGGTAGACTCAGGCTGTGGATCTCAGGATGTTTCCTCAACTGCGTGATCTGTATTCCTTATGCTCAGTCCACTGAAGACAGAGTTCTTTTTGTTTGATATTTTTCCTTAAAGCAAAATACTTAAATCCTGTAGAAAAATATTTTTTTCAGAGTGCTGTAGGGGTAGGGGTCTTTAGGCAGGGAAAGAATAAAATAAGGTTGTGATTAGGTTTACTGTCTAATCCTGAATAGAAAGAGTTAAAACTTTACCTTGGACCAGAGGGAGAGCTGATAAGCAAAGCAAGAGAGAAACAGGTGCCCTAACCAAAACTGCCACCCCTCCCCATCTCCAGTAAATTGACAAAAGAGGGGAGGGGGCTACCTATATTAAAGGAAAACTCTTATTTAGTATATAAAATATATATGTATTGCCACTGTAGAGGTCACTATATTGCTGCACACATCCTCTTAATCACTGACTCCAAGCTGTGATGTCTATACTCCTCCTAACCAACCTGTAGCTCCCAGAAAGAAGGCCCTGACAAGGACAAGGAGGTGGGAAGAAACCTGGCAAAGCCTACCAAAAGGATTGTGCACATACAAATGGTACCTTGGTTAGGATCTTGTGGACTAGGATCTAAGACAGCCCAGGGAAATAATCGGATTGTGACAAGTTCCGGGGGTAAGGGTTCCCCCCAAAACATAACAAAAGAAGCTGGGACAAAGGTCCCAGGGGAATCCATATTTGTGGGACCCACTGCCTCCTCTCCGGGGCAGCTTTCCAGTCTCTGCCTTTTCCTCCTAAAGTGTCTTCCTTTCTTAAACTCTGTCCCATTCATTATTGGTGCTGAGTTTACCTGTCTAGCTGCTCATTCTGTCTGTGCACCCCAGACACAACAGTGCAAGTGAGTATTTTTCTTTATTTTTTGGTACTGGGGATTGAACCCAGGGCTTTTGCACGGAGCTACATACCCAGACCCTTTCTGGTTTTGAGACAGGGTCTCACTAAGTTGCTACGTTACTTAGGCTAGGCTCAAATTTGGGGTCCTGTTGCCTTAGCCTCCATCACCACACCTGGCTTCATTGTTTATTTCTTTGATTCTTACTCTGGTTTTCATTTCCTCCATGCCAGTCATCTTTAGTAAAATAATTTTTTTCCTTGTTAGGAAAACTTACTCTACCCTGTTAGGTTTAATGTTTGGGGCTTGTGGATTAAGCTAACAAAAATAGGTTAGTGAGAAAAAAGATTTTTATTCACAGAAGTATTCAAAGTTCTCAGAAAAATAGACTCAAATAAGCAGTTAGGATTTGGAATTTATATATCATCCAAATAAGGACACGATGGGGGGAAAGGGTCCTTATGGGAAATGACTTTTAGGAAAGATAAACTGACTTCTTGGAGAATAGATGGGTGATAGATATGATAGTTTTTTGACAATGTCTACTAGGCAATTTAGTATCTAGGTACTGATGTTTCTGGTTTTTAAATACCTTGAGAAAGGATTTATGGAAACTGAAATCTTTTGAGAAGCACTGCTTTTAGGCAGATAAGAGTTCAGAAATAAGTCTTCTGGTCTCTGTTGATTCTTGAATGCTTTTAACTTAAAATAATCCTTATCCTGTGATGGCATATTTTGGATATCTTTACTGTATTACTCCTTTTGTTTTCCCTTTGGCACCAGGAATTGAACTTGGGACCTTGAGCTTGTGAGGCAGACAGCACAACCACTAAGCTAAATCCCTGGCCTTCTTTACTGAATTAAAAAAAAACAACTAATGATACTTACTGCACTGGCACTTGGGAGGCTGAGGCAAGAGGATTGCTGCAAGTTCAAGGTCAGCTTGGGCTACACAGTGAGTTCAAGGACAGTCCAGAATATACAGCAAGATCCTGTCTCAAAAAAGCCCCAAACACCACCAACAAAATAAAAGAACTGTTCCTAGAGGTCAGAGATAAAAGCCCAAAATATATATGGGCCTCCTCCAGGAAGTGCCCACCTAAGCAAGTCTACTCTTCAGCACATTGTCAGACAAGATCTGTGGCTCATGTCACTTCTTTCTTGGAAATAATTATGTCCACTCCCATAGGTCTCTGGGCAACTGCTTTCTTCTTGTTATAAAAAGATGTACAATTAGGTGAAAAATGACATAGACAAAGCTGTCTACATCTCCTGATGCCTTCTTCAGAAACCTGGCGACTTTCCTAAGAAAGTTGAGTTTTGGATTGGTTTTGATCAGTTTGTCTAAAGTTGCTCCATGTTGATTTTTTTTTTTTTTTTTTTTTTTTTT